TGGTTTTGGAGTCATTATTTGATGAGTGCACTAAAGCAGGACACATGTCTTTGTATTTGTCCTACAACACTGATTTATATGCAGGTAGGGAATAAACAACAAAACCAAAAATAATGAAAAAGCTGAGCACAAGGATAGCTACAGTGCACAGTCAGCCTGATATATCTTATCATATAATCTACCTTATCTAACCTTGATAACAAAGAATCACACAATTATTTGGGTTGGAAGGGACTTTAAAGATGATTTAGTTCCAACCCCGTGCCATGGGCAGGGACACCTTCCACTAGACCAGGTTGCTCAAAGCCCTGTCCAAGCTGGCCTTGAACATTTTCAATGATAAGACATCCACAACTTCTCTAGGCAACCTGTTTCAATGCCTCACCACCCTCATAGTAAAATATTACTTCCTTACAGCCAATCTAAACCTCCTCTTTTTCAGTTTAAAACTGCTGCCTATTGTCCTATCACTACATGCCCTTGTAAGAAGTCCTTCTCCAGACTTCTTATAAGCCCCCTTTAGGTAATGAAAGCCTGCAATACCCCCCCCCCCCAACCCCCGCCCCAGCCTTCTCTTCTTCAGGCCGAACAAGCCCAACTCTCTCAGCTTGTCTTCATAGGAGAGGTGTTCCAGCCCTCTGCTTACTTTCATGGCTCTCCTCTGGACCTGCTCTAGCACGTCTGTGTATTGAGAAACAATTCCCCAGAATTATTGTTGGCTGTTTAAAGTGATGTCATTAAAATCTCCTGGACATACTAGAAAATTAGTGTGTGTTCAAAGCTGTCATACCATGCATCCTTATAATGTCATTAGAAAGTTTCACTGGCTTCATGCCCTTCCATGCAGCCCTGCCATAATACATATTTAATACTTCATTTTTCTCATTCTCCAAAATTGGATTTTCAAATTTGGAAGAAAAATAGTCAGAGAGGAAAGTATGTAAGAAAGGTAAAAAGTAAAATACAAGAAGAGGAGAAAGGATAATTCCTAAAATGAAGGGAGGGAAATTATCAGGTTGGCACCACTGTCAAGCTTTGTAAACTGACTGTTCATCCCTGTTTCCCCTCTTTTTCTAAGCTATTCTGAATAAGGACAGCAAAATAGAAAACTGACTTGCAAAAGTATATCATGATACTGCATGACTGGGCAATAAGATGACAGATGAAACTGAACATAAATTTATGCAGAATAATTCAAGTGCAGGAAAATAGATACCAACTACAGATACACACTGATGGGCTCTGAACTAGATATTACCATTCAGGAAAGAGTTCACAGAGTTATAACAGGCAATTTTATGAAAATGCCATCTCATTGTTCAGTCACAGTGAAAAATAAAAACAGAATAATCCACAACACTAGAGAGGAAAAGAGAACAAACCAGGAAATTTCATTATGCCAGGGGATAAATCTGTGGTGTTCTCAGCTCATGTGCAGTTCTGGTCTCACTGTTTTTAAAAGGATACAGAACAAAAGGGTACAAAGAGCGACACATACGATCAAAGGCATTTAAGGGCTTCTAAACAGGCTTCAGACCAAAAAACATCTTAAGGGCAGATACTGGAAGAGCCTATATTCTCAAGCAGAATGAAGAATGAAATTGTTCACTTTTCCAGTATCAGGAAACACATTATGACACTAGTGGGTGACAGGTTCAAAATAAGCATAGCACTTCACACAAACAGAGATTGGTTTGGGTTGGAAGGGAGCTTAAAGACCATCTAGTTTCAACACCCTGCCCAGACCATCTAGTTTCACCACCACAGGGCAGGGACACTTTCATGGAACTTTGATGTTAAACTGCCGGCACTCAAAATTTGCACAGACCCAAAAGGCAATTAAAAAACTAAGAAGAAAGATCTATATATTGAAAACAAAGTAATGCTGTGGCTCAGGATGTCCTTGGACTGCCTACTAGAGAAAGCTGACAAAATATGCACATCCAGTTATCACCAGCATTTAATCTCCTCCATAGAGTTCGGCATCTATCTAGCCCTAGTAAAACCTCAAATTACTCCCTGAGAAGCAGGGGGGATGGGGAAGAAAAGTAAAAGAAAAGAACAAATTACCAAAAAGAACAAAGTGAAATTAAATGGAGGGCTTTAGGGGTCAGATGATAAAAAATACAAAACTAAGTAACTAAGGGGCAGACAAAGCACCTTAGCTGCTAGCTACAGTCGAAGACAATACGGTGCTAGAGACATGTATCATCTGAGCTGGTATAGGCCTTCCTGTGTACCCACATACAGTCAGCCTAAAAAAGAGAGAACATATTTTAGGGTATGACTCAGCAAGCCAACATGCCTCTATTAGCACAACACTTGAGCATGTGGTCGATATAGCCATAAGGCCCATGGAAGTTAATGATGTTAATGTAAAACATACTTTGCATCAGACAGGAACAGAAATTTTATGTACAGCAGAAAGATAAAATCTGAACTTGCTGAAGGGCCTACTGAAAAGATGGAACAGGCTGATAGATAAGAGTGGCACAGACCCAAGAGGATCCAACGGAACAGAAAGCTAAAAGGTAGGAATCAATGCTACACATAAAGATATGGAGCAAAAGGAGTAGTAGGATACGAATCTAGTGCCCAAGAGGAAGCTGAGATCAAGAGAAAGTGTAACAAGCAAATATTCTAGCATTTATTCCAAGGCATAAACAGAGTTGTAGTCTAATGATGCAGAAGACATAGATTTCACACAGAACAAAATTAAGTGGGAAGCTGAGCCCTGTGCTATGGGATGAAGGGACAGAGAAATTTGGTGGCAGCAAGTTAAGAATGATGCTGGAGGTAAAAGTCTGTGCCAGAGTCTGTCAATTGCTTTCTCACGAAACTAGTCAAATGTTAAGACAAGGAAGAAGGAAAAGGCTGGATAAGCTGTGGGAGTTGCAAAACCATGGAAGGTACTGGAAGCAGCTATCTAGAATAATCAAAACTGTTGCAGAAAAATGCCTTTAAAAACAAGATGCACAGCTAGCAAGAACTTTTTTAATTTCTTCTTCTTAAAGAGAACACTTTAACCATACTACCATTTACTATAGATTTTGCAAACACTCAGGGTATTCTAGTGTTGCTAAATTGTTCATTAAAAAAAAATTAAAAAAGCTAAAGCTTCCATTTTGAATTCTGATGCTATTTAAAGAAATAGTTTACAGTTCTGCACTGGAACAAAACTTTAAATGCTAGCTGATGAAACCTACATCATTTATTTTTCTCTTGCATCTTCCAGAATAAATTTAAAAACTAAGTTAAACTTCCCCTTTCTTCAAATTGCCAAGAAACTGAAAAAAATCTCTGACTTGTTAAATCTGCGTATCTCAAAGATGATCTTGCAAAAATACAGCTGAAACCACCAAGATCACCTTTTCTCAAACTGCATGTGCCTCCCTGAAGTTGGAACATGCCTGTAAAGTCAGAAAATGAAACCTTCTTTTGGAAAAAAAAATAATAAAGAGACCATCACAGAAATGCCTTGGGAAATCTCTCTGCCACACTGAGAGTCTTTCAGCTTATGGACTTCTTCAGAACACTGTACAGATGTGACCAGCAGGGAGGCAGATGGAGAACAAGGGAGACAAAAACTGTGCAGCAAGTAATGTGTGTAGCCACCATCCTTGCTTGCTAACAATATCCCAAAGCACTTTTCTTCCCACACTAGCAGATAAATAAAATTGGTATTATTTAGAAGAGCTAACCATATGGTTTGTGTAATCTTTATATGCTATTTTCAGTACATTATTATACTACATGATAGAGACCTACAAAATAGGATTAAAATTTGCTTTGTTTTACAACCAACCTGTTCCGTTTGAATACCATTCTATGATTCAATGATACAGAGACAGAGGTGAGGGCAGTGTACCAGAGTGTATTACTTCCACATGCTGTCTCTACCTTAATACTCTTAGAACAAGGCAATTCTTCCATGTGAGGCATATTACTGGGTTCCCAAGCTCAAAACAGGTATTTATCAGCCTTGGTGATAATTATTTGTTAGTAAATATTTGATTAAATTGTAAAGTCCTGACTTTTTTTATATTCCATTTCAGCCTACATGTATCTGTCTGCTTCGTGTCTTCCCAATGTAGAATGCTGTAATATGTAGCAAAAAAAAAAAAAAGAAAAAAGAAAAAGACAGGAATAATGCAAAAATATCAACTACAGGAAAGAAACTAAACCTAAACCCTGAAACCCATTACTCATAAATTGTGTCCTCTCTCTCAGCCACTCCTTTCTTTCCTCCCACTCTTTTTTGATAATGAAATATCAGAATCCAGAAGCCATTTTCATTCTAAATCAAGGTATCCACACTGCTGTAAGAACAATACAGATCAGGGGTTTTGTCTGGGTATGTTTTCCCATTTTCACTGTCATTTTTGTTTTAGCATATACAAAATGTTGCAGAAGCACATGTAAATCACCACTCTCTTGCCCACTGGAACAGAATTTCAGTTACCAATGCCAACAGTTGCCTACAGAAGGCATCTACATCTGGTCTGCTACATCCAAGACAGCAACCACCGGCACACGTTTTGCTTTGTTTGGAATTCATCACCGTGGTGCAGCTGAGCCTCAGATAAAAAAAAAACAACTATGAGCCTCCAGGGTTAAACAGACAAATGTTTTCAGTCACAACAACTTTTTTTGGGAAGGAAGCAAAGCCATAACAATGTATGTAAGAGGTTTTATGTAAATCATTAAAGGCCTTCTGACTTAAATTGTTGCTAACACCAAGAAGTTGCTTAATGTACACTTGAGAGTGTGAAGGCAGAACAGATGAATTGTCTCACAAATCTTACTTGCTCAGTTGGAAAAATGCAAAAATATTTGTAAAAAAAAAAAAAGAAAAAAAATCAGACTCCTCACTGCCATTGAAATTTAACAGTCTAATTAATATTCATTATTTCTGAGTGCATGATGGCTTCTACTGAGAGGCAGAAGGGGTAGATACAATCAGTAAACAAATTTACTGTCAAATCCACAGAATTCAATACCTACCTAGCCACTCGTTGAATTTTTTTACTTCACTAGGAAGTCCCAGCTCAGTAAAATCACCAGCATGTATTAACACATCTCCATATGGCATTTGGATGGGATCAGTTCTTGAGTGAGTATCAGAAATACAGACAAATCGTGTATATCCTGGAGGTTTGGGAGCATCATGGGGCACCGGATCAACCCTGTAGGAAATGCATCATAACAAGGTTATAAAGTACTTTTGTACTTCTTAGTGTCTACTTTGCAATTCTAATACTACTTTTTACCTTTACAAAAGATTACACTGACTTCTAGATCTGGCTGATGGAAGGGATTTATTAAAACAAACCTAACACTAATGGGAGGTGTAAAAATTCTTGATGTTCACATCACAACATTTTCAGTATTTGTTGGGTAGACGGATTAATTTAAAGAGATTAAGGAAAAAAAATTGGACTATGGCAGTCACTCTGACACAAATACAAATAAATCAAAGGCATCACCAGTTTCAAAGGAATACTTACTATCCCGTTTCATTGTTTAAATATGATTACACAGTATACAGGGAAAAGTTTTATTTTAGATACATAAATACATTTAAATGTATTTTTTCTAATTATAACTTTTTTTCCCTGCGAATTATGTAATTCCAGCAAATTTCATTAACACATTTTGGAGATATGTTTCAGTGTGTTAACGCAAAGCAATGTAAGAACTCTCCTTACAACAACTGTAAATGTACATTCGAGTCTGACTATTGTCAGGATAAATGTGGCAACTTTCTGGGCTTAATTATACTAAAAGACATCAGATGCTGTGAGGGGTGAGGCTGCATTGTTCAGAGCCCAATCTCGATATTCAAAACTGAGGAAACTAAAAGATCTGACCCAGTTTGATGAGACTTATGGTTTAGAAGACGAAAGCAGAGAGCACTTCTCTGCTATATGAGGAATACTTATTTTCAACTCAGTCTTTTTACCCTCAATCCATATTTTTTTAAATATATAGAAGCAAATGTATCTATATGCAGCTATACTGTATCTGCTATTCCAGTTAGGGAATTCTGGTGGAAGAAAATTTAAATGCGAGAGATGCAAAGAGTTGTATTTATGTCGCCTGAAAACTGAAAGAGAGAACTGTTACGAATTGTTTTACCTTTTCAAAATATATTTGGAAAAGACAAAATTAGTTGGGTTCAGTGTTGCAGGATATGTAATACATATCCTTATTCCTTGCTGGTTTGGCTTCAGTTCAGGAACTTACTTTTATATAAACTCAGAATAAAAGTTAGAGATCTTTGCTATTAATACTACCTGTTTACTTCGTAAGTTTTCAAAATGCATTTTATTACTTGAAAGACATAATAATCTTTATGATCACATAATCTTTTCTCCAAGTCAAAGAATTCTGCGAAATTTATAGGCTGGTAAACTGAGGTGGTTTTGACAACTCCATGAGATTAGTAAGAGAGTGAGGAATAAATCTAAAACCTTTAAACCTTACTAAATACGGAGAAAGTTCTTAGCATTTTCCACAACATAACTACACAACTAGAGTATGAACAACTTATTTCATACCAGTCTTTCCCATACCTTTTTAGGAAGAAGAAATGTTGGGTTTTCTACAGCAGCACCGGAGAAACAGCTTTTTAGCACAAGTACCTTGGAGCTGCCTTTTTGAAGTTTCAGGTTTTGAGCAGAAAGTAACCAAACAGGAGGTAAGGAGAAAAACCAGCTGTGATCAAATCATACCTAATGAATATCCAGCAGTATATATATGCTAGTGGGATATGTAAGCAAGCATGTACTTCAAGTTGTAAAAGTTGGCTTACAAACAGTGGAACACTTGGACTTGAGAGAGCAGCTGCAAACACTGCGTGTAAGGTTGAGGAAGCGTGCATGTTCCAAGAGAACAACAAGCACATGTAGAAGGGCAGGTGAAAAAAAAAGTGTTAAGATGCAGGAGGAGTTAGGCATAGGAGGTCACAACCTCAACCATACAGCTGCATTACTGCCATCATGTATTAAAAACACCTCTGTTTGGAGGGAAGAGAGCTGCCATAGAGAAAGTTCCATGGGTGGTTAGTGGAAATAGCAGGGTTGCAAAAGAATATACATGGTGAATGGTGGGGTTTAGACTAGTGAGTGAGACTTGTCAGAAGGTGTGAAGGGTAATGCAGTCAGTTCACTAAGTTCCTCCACAAAATGAACTGTAATGGCTAGATAAAATGATGAGATGCTGACCCTGGCTATCACTGCTGCCATTTAAGCTAAAAAGATTAAACATCAGTCCAGTAGACAAATTTTTGATTATTCTTTGTGTCCACCATGTGAGTTATGGGTCATAATGGTAAGCCAGCTTTAAATCATGCTTACTACCCTGGAACAACCTAACAATATGGATTGGCCTAAAATACCACTTTTTGACTTTTAATGGTAGGGTAGTCTTTAAAGCTGGTACTGCTTCTCCTTCAGAAATCTGTTAAAGCTCAGCACAGCAGGAAGTTGGGTGTTGGGGAGTAGCACGCATTTCACATGTTGCTCCTCTGAGGCTGAATGGAAAAAACAACAGACTTACCATGGCAACCCACGCAGCACATAATATACATGCTTTTTCTTATAGTTTGAATGAGGATGGGGAAGATGTGGACAGCATGTTCCTGGCTGCTGAAGTATATATAACTTTTAAAACCTGTGCAATGGACCAGGTAATTTTCAGGGGGAAAAAAGCATCAATACAAAAGAAAAAAACCAATAAATGAGATGCAGATTTTTCACATGGAAGTGATATGCACACACTGAGGCCATATATAGGTAAAAACATATGTCAAGTTTCACAAACGCATCAAAGTTATATTACTGGAAATAATTTCTGAAGGCTCCATCCCCATATTCTTGTGTAACGCATTCCCACAGCAGCTGTCACACCAACACCCAATGCACCGCTTGCAGCATGAGCAGAGGAATAAAGATGTGGTGATTATTTTTGTGCAAATGCTTTTGCTTTTCTTTAAGCCAGTATGAAAACTTGCAGAGAAATTGAAAAGCAAAGTAAAAAAACTCAGACCAAAACCACTGCCAGAGGTTAGCTTATACATTAGGTTTCAGTGGTTTCACAAAGGAGCAAGACAGGAACTTTCCAGAAACAAGGGATGGACTTGAAAACACTGCCGGAATTTACCACCTTTGTCAGTGGCAACCCAATCATTGCACAAGTACGGGTATGACAGACCAAGATGGGGCTATGAATGGGATTATCAGCACGTTATGGGTGCTAAGAAGTGAAACAAGAAATGTGGAACTGCACAAAGGACCAAGCAAGAGCTGCAAGATTGAATTCAGAAGAAAAGGAGCACGCACAAAAAAATATAGTTTAAGTAGTTTACTACGAGTTCATATGTTAACAAGTCTATGTGAAATCTGTTTGTGATTGACTGCAACATCACTTATATAGTGGTATTTTGAACTATACACAAAGACACTGAAAAGCCCTCACCTCTCTGAAGTCAGTGACAAAACTTGAATGGACTAAAGCAGGGCTAAGATTTCACCCATAACAATCATGTGAATAAAAGGTGCTTTTGTTACACTTTTTATGTCTACTTCTCCCTTCTTTGTTATTATTCTATTCAATCCTGCTGGTATTGAGAAACATTACTTACAATTTCTGTACCAAGAAGAAGAGGTCAGATTGTGGTTAAACGTTTCAACTGATTTAGCCTGTTCTTCTAGTTGTACAAGCTTCTTCGATAGCATTAATCATTTATGAGAGATTGCTAAACTCTTCTGAGGATCCATTTTCTATGGATAGCTTATTTTCAACTACTTGCTTAGGTGCTGAACTTCTATCATGCAGCTGACTGTCTAAGCCCTCCAGTAATATGATTTGCTACTGGTTAGAAGTTGTAACAGTACATCGCTGAGTACCAAGTGGATACTAATAAATAACTTATTTTCAGCCCAGTAAGAAACACTCAGCTTTTAAGACCAGTGAACAAATTCATGAGTGCCCAGGAACTGTCTGGATATCCACAAATAGCGAAGCCTCAACAAATAAAGCAACCTGCATTTGGAATTTTCATTCGTAGAAGTATTTCTGAACCCGCATTTGTTTGTTTGTACTTTTGCTACCATTTGCCAGCTCTGCAAACAAAAGATGTTTCCCAGTGCTAACGCTTCACTCATTTTACTGTTTGCATTCCAGTGGTATCTAAAAAACAAAAAACACCACAGACCATAAGCTAATACACTGCCCCCAAAACCTGACTGTTTGCTCACTACCCTGATATATATGTCAGTCTTAAGATTATTTTTTTTAATAAAGTATCATTTGTGCCAAAGAATGTACGTAAGCATTCACTAAATAGACACAGAATTCAAACAGCCATCACTGACGAGTTTTTTAGCTATAGAAATCATGGCCTGTGTTTGTAAATTATCAGGTCATATTTAACACCAAAAATGTGAATGTGATTTTTTTATCAGTCTTCCTAAAGCAAAAAAAAGTTTCTATCAAGAAAAAAATTAAAAACCAGCTTTCTGATCTAAAGATAAGTCTGCTTCTCTCTATAATAAACACAAAGAAATGGTGCAGACATTTTTATTCCCCATAAAAATATTTTACAGTGGATTTTTATATTTAATTTATTTGTAATAGCTTTACTGTTTTGCTCTTCCTTCTGGCTTTAAAGTTTATGGCAGGTTTCATTTTGTAATTATAATTCTCCACTTTACATTACAAGTAAATCATTTAGAGTAGTTAATTTTACTGATGTTGTCATTACATAAGAAGTCAGAAACAAACACATTATTTTAATTACTCTTTAAGTACTTGGCATCTTCAGCCCATCGGTATGAAAGTAAGTTGTCGGATGGGTGCCCACACTATTTTATTTATTGATGCTATTTTTCCCTTGTATGTAGCGGCAATATAACTAACCAAACAGTATGTGTTGTACAGAAACAGGATGGTATTTTCAACAGCTATTTACATCAGTAAGTGAGTGCACAATACAAACAAATATTATCAAGATCACAGAAAATATCCTTGTAGCATCTCTCATCTTATTACCACTGTTTGTTGTTTTTCCTTTAATACAGTAAGTATTATGTATTAAAGTAATGCTAGCTGAGTGATCTTTCTCCCATCCTTCAGCAAACTTATACTTTCCAAAAGGACTGATTTTGTATCATTACACTAATTATTATAAGAAAGGCAGCAAAATGGTGTTCTTTAAATTCTTTTTGACTGGTCCATCAAATACCACATTGACAAGGCCATAACAATTCAGAAGGCTGTGCTAGAGCAATAACAAAACTATAATACTTACATTTGCACATGTGGGGGCTGGAAACGTCCCTGGTTAATGTTGTAGAACGTGAATGCCTGTGTGGGGTTGGAGCTGTACTCATCCACTTCAATTATGAGTCTACTGTGCTGATGCCTTCTAGCTGCCATAATGTGAGACTGGGAGAAAGCCATGCTTGCACTGCGTAGTTCGGCTTTTTCAGGCAATCATAACTGCTATCTTCCTACATCGACGGAAGCAGACCATGACATCTCCTTACCTAATCAGCACACTCCCCTTCAAAAAACCTAAAAGCAGATTGAAGAGAAGGAGCATAACTGTTTGACAGTTAATATGTTTGGAATTGCTTTATTTAATATGAGATGAAGGGAGGATATTGAGGGGTGAAGACACACAGCTCCAAGAACTCATCACAAACCTTTCCAACCCAGCAATTTGATGATCATACTTTAGCTGCGAGTGGGAAGCGGGGTGAGAAAGTAAACTTGCTAGAGCACAGGGGCAACTTGCTCTAGTATTTCAGACATTTAATACAAAACTTACAGACATGGCAGTCACTCAGAATGGTGTGTCAAATAATAATGTTTCTTCAACCCAATCATTTCCTTTCTTTTTTATTGCATTGTTGAATATTTATTACCCACCCACCTTCTAAAAAACAAAACAACCTACTAAGCCTAACATTGACTACACGGCTATGCACAACTAAAAGGTGAGTTAATTAAACAAGAATGAGTTTAACCAATTATTCAGAAAGTCTGAACCATTTATTACCAGGAAGCATTTCAAGTGGTTGCTCTTTACATCCTAAGGAGCAGAGCAAAAAGCCTTCTGTGCCCTTGCTCCTAGTTTTATAGCATCACTGAAAGAAGTTGTGACACAGATATGGAGGGCTCCCCCCTTCAAACACATTCTCTTTGCAGTCAACACTAACCCAACATTCTGAATATACTGGAAAAGAAAGCAATTCAGAGGCTAACACACAGTTAAATGTTACTAAGTACTAAAAAAAAAAAAGTAAAATCCGTACAGGTTTTATGCTTGGGAATAAATTTTTCCCTGAAGGTTACACAAGTCTAGAACAGCAGCACTGAAAACTGGCAGAGGAACAGCAAAGTGAAATCAACCGAAATGCAGAGTATCCCCTAGAAACAGCAGAAAGTAATTTAAATGTGAATTTTACTTTTATTTCCCAGTTTTAATAAAAAATGGATTATAAGATATAAAGGTGGGTATTTTTACAGTGTAATTTTGCATCCTTTTATAAAGTTGTCTGTCTTAAATATCTACTTTCATGCAAGTGAGGGCTCTTCTCTTCTACGGAATACAAGTGATCTGCCTCAGAAGATGTATTTCATGAGAAGCCATGCTAGAATGCAGCAAGTCACTTAATATATGCAGTTTCTGGAAAGCAGAGCTACAAGTATTTTATGTGACCTTGATGTTGTGCCTAACTTCCATTCTGAAGGGACCACTGCCAACAGTGATGGATGTCTTCACAGTCACTCGAATTTTTAAAGCTATTTGCAGGTATTTAGGTCCAATTCAGGTCTAGTGGCAGTCAAGCACCTAAGCATCTTTAAAAATCTGGGCTTCAGTCTTTGCTTAACGACTGCAGATGTTAAGTGCTCCAAGAAGTGGCAGTGTTATTTTTGTTTTGGGAATTCTTGTTCTTAGTAAAGTAAAATGAGGGATTCAGCTTAGTTTTGTTAGTTGCTGAATGGCTATAAAATGATGACAACTTGCTGTCACTAACAACTGGCAGGAAAACAGTCTGAGAATAAAAGAGCAGATTCCTTCATGCCCTCCCCTAGAATTGAGTGGTAAGGAAATGGCAGAGTAACAACAAAGAAAATTTTGGATTTTAAACACTCTCAGATGCCGTGTTCAAGCTACGGAACAAGCAGCAGCACAAAGGAATGTGCCAGAGCAGGAGGAGGGAAGGGAGGCATGATCCTTGTAAGAATAATCAAGTACAAATTGCTGCATTTAGGAAATAAGAAATTATGACAGCAGATGTGAAGAACCCTCCCTGAGGAGCTTTCTGTATTAAATGATGCATTTGTAAAGAAGTTTGAATAGGCAAGGTCAGAGATTTTATAGGGGGCAAACTGTTCTAAGTGAACCTACTTCTGTTTGAAAGAAACTATTAGAACTGGTGACCTCTAGAAATATTCTCCAGTAAGATTAATAATTTATGATTCCACAGCTCTACATAAGGATTTCAAACTACCTGAAAGACACAGCCTTTGTTTTGTAATTCAGGGATTATGCCCACTTTACACACAACTGCAGTTACAAAGGAGTCAAGGCACTGCCTTAGGGACCTAGAATCTCCCTTTGGCCTTAGGAAGTTCTCAGGAGCTCACAGCAGCTGAGAAAACAGCTTCTGTCAGCCTCCTCTTCAGGTCCTGTCTTTCATGACTTATCTCAAGTTATACATCACATCTCCTGCAGAATCAGTATATTTATGCAGGTACCCTAATATCCACTCTTGAGCTCTGCCTCCTCATTCTGGTTAAGTGGAAAATAGCACTTACCAACACAAACTCAAAAGAACAAATTTGTTTGCAAACAGAAACAAAACCACAGCCAGCACACCGCCAATATACCCTTTAGTGCTGAAGAGTTCTCATAAGCAGGGAATCAAGCCATGCACATGGGAGAGTGTGTGAATCATACCATTAGGCCAGCTTGAGAGGATGCTAGCCACAGACATTCAGCAAGAAGTTCACCATATAAACATGTAGGAGACAGAAAGACAACATATTTACTTGAGGTAAGGAAAAAAAGAAGAAAACAAATTGAAAAAAAAAGGAGGAAAAAAAACCCAGAATTCCACAGCACTGCTAATCCTTCTGCCAAATGACAGTCACCAAACATCAACCCTGCACACATAAAAAGCATCCAAGACTTGAAAAGAAAGAGCCAAATCCTGCAATAAAAATTAAATAACTAGCAATCATATGAATAGCCTGTGATAAACAAGAATCAGATATGTAACACACATAATCAGTAAGCATAATTCAATAGCCAGCTTCATTCAAGCTCATTTCAGAAACATACACAGATGTCTTTGAACCTTACCTTTCAGTCTAGGGTTTTCTTCCTGCATAAGTGGTTGGCTGACTACTAACATTCTTGGTGTTCGACAGAACAAGCTGTCTCTTTGCAGCTTGACTGATAACCAGACTGACACCCATTACTCCCCTCTTTCTGCTTCCATTTTGAACAGTCCCCAAATCATAACTTTTTCTTTATTTTAATATTCAGAACTTTCTTCCTTTCCCAAAACAGGGTATAAAATGCAGCAGGGAAATAATTATCTGCTTCTATAGCATGCAAGTTTTAAGATTATATGCCCAGCATTACCAACACAGAGCATTAAAACTCAAATCCCCACAGCAACAACATGCTAACCATCCTCTTCCCCCAGACTTATGGAGCTGCGGGATGTCTGCCAGGGAAAAACAGAGAAATGTAAAAAGGACTGCAAGAACATGAATACGAAAATAAATATCAGAAACCTGGCTGTTAGAATCACAGACTGAGAAAAAGCTATTAAATCAGCTAAGCCATCTTCTTACTGATGGCATGAATGTTCTCCATACATTATATTTCTGCTGCTTTCTCTAGCATATGGTCAAATGTTCTCAAGAGCTCTGACCCAAAGCACATTGTGTACAATGGACACTGCTCCACCGTCTTCAGAAGGCTTTGCATCAGGCCATAAACTACATGAGTTGCAACATCTGTCCTGAGGCAAGCCCTTGAACCCAGATGTATATCTAAACCTTTTGATGAGGTCCTCAAAGAAATCTTTGTATTAAGATTTTTCTTTTTCAGCCTGAAATTTCTGGTATTTTCATCTCACAGCCTTCTTGTATAGCTGGCATAGTTATTTCCCTCTTTTACATAAATTTTCCAGCCTTTTTATGCATCCTGTTTCTCTCCTTTTTTTTTTTTTTCCATTTCAAGCCAACATTTTATTATAATCTCACTTCTTCATTCTCAGATTCTGGTTTATTCTGTGTTCATCCTTCAGTTCACTCTCATGTCCACTAATCTCTTGCTATATCTCACTCCATCATCCCCACTGTTCCCTTCATCACCTGCTCTTTGTCTCAAAGCCTAAAAACAACAAAAACGGGCGTTTTCATGCAGCTATAAAACATCAAAGCCCTTTTTTCCTTTTTTCTTTTTTTTTTTTAAGGGAAAGACAGACAATAGCAGTAAAATACCTGAAAGAAGCACATGAGAGTCTGTGATAGACCACACAGTGTGACACACTTGCTTCTTGAGTAAATTTTGGATACTGTTAACCAGAAACCCTTCCATGAGTTTGCCCCGGGGTTCAGGTCTTCCCCATGCAGCACTGCAGTGCTTTTCATAAGCTGCCAGGTCATCCTTCAAACAGGGAAGTAGACCCTTTATTTAAACCAAAAAAAAAGCATTACAGAGTATTTCACAGCAGTGGTCCCAATTGTCATAGTAACATTTCTATAACCACTAGTGATTGGCTTCATTACCACAAATTACTATTTTTGTCTTAAACACATCCCCCCAAAGCTTGCTCTAGACTGACCACCATGAAACTGGTAAAGCAATTGCTCACTACGAGAAACAGGTTGAAAATGGTAAAGGGTTTTTGCTGTCTAAAATACCCATTCCAGATAGAAGACAATCAAGGGAACTAGTGCGCTATCTTCAGTTCTGCTATCTGGAAACGAATACTGAAATAATCCTAAATCATTATTCTGTGGGAAAGGATGAGCCAGGCAAATCAATCTGCAAATGAAAGCTTTACTAAAGAGATATACTCTCCATTTTCTGAAACACAATGCAAGACCTGGCAAACCAAAACCACCAAGTCTTCCTTGAGAAGACTGGACTTACTTGACAAAATTAGGACTCTAAAGTGAAGCCAGCATAATCAAATGTCATTAAGACACTTTTAGAATTAAAGGTTGATTGTGCACCTTTCTACTTTTCTAAATGAATATGATCTATTGCAGACAGAAACATTTCTCGCTGCATTTTAAAATAAACAAAACTGCAATGTGTGGAAGTGAAATATACACTTGCAAGCCCTTTTCCCAAACCAAGTGCTTTATGTACCTGCAATTTGTGTCAATGAGAACCAAACAACATCATTAAAAAATGAGCAGGTTCCTCAAGGATATCTGAATTACAGTCTCCCAACCTGCGGTGCCATTTAAGGTGTTTACCACCCTTACAAACCTCCCAGAGTCCATCATGATAAATGGAGTGATTTAGATACCCTGCCAGGAAACCTAACCCTACTTCAGCCCCAGCAGCAGTACAGCATCTGAGAGCATTAGTTCTTCTAAATGCCAGTTTAGCAGTGGTGAACATACCAGGGTGACAGCCTTCAAGCCTGCAGCCCTCCATCCCCAGTCCAGACAGCGTGCAGAGAGGCTGGCACCCGCACCAGGCCTGGCGCCATTCCCCAGGCCACTGGTGCGCCTCAAGCCTTCACTGCAGAGACCTCCAAAGCACTCCATATCCATATAGGCCAAGAAATCCCCTGGTTTAAGCATCAAATAAATGTACAAATGGGTTCTGTAATGCAGATTTCTCTTAAAAAAAAAATAAAAAATTGAAACACACTCACTGGTCCATTCTGTGAGTACCATGAGAAGGCTATACACACTGCTCCATCTGCTCCTCAGAGGATAAAGTGTATGTATATTGCTGTGCAAGTCTGTAAAGTTGTCCTAAGGTCAAAATACAGAATAAAATCTTTACAAATGGTTCTTTACCAAGCCTTTTACTACGGATTTCACAATCCTCATCTAGTAACTAGAGCACATATGCTTCACCATGGTATTTTCAAAAACCTCTGCCCATGGTGTATCTTTAAGTGAAAGATTTTAAGCATCCCGTTTTTCAGTCTCTGCTGTCTTCAGTGGCTTCTGCTGAACGAAATTATACCAAACCCATGATTTATTAAGGAAACTCTTTGGATGGTCTTTTTAAATCATGTTTGAGATGGTTCTCCATGCCAATGAATCCAAATTTGCTAACTGTTATCAGTCAAATACTCATTTCTGTGACTGTGCCTTTATCCTCAAAGTCAGAGCTATTTCCATTCACACAGCCAAAACCAAGGGGCATAATTCTGAGTTACTGGTATGCCTCAAAAATACTTCTGTGAGAAGAAAGGTAGTGTATCTACCCTCTTTCGTTTAGAATCTCCTATTTCACCTACCAATGAACGCTTCAGTGCCTCATCTTATATACCACGTTTGTTAACTGCAGATCTACAGGGCACTGTGCAATCTGTTTTGCAATGTGTAAAAAGATCAGTGACTTAAATAAGACCTCTTATTTCCCTGTACTTACAATCACCTTAACCTGCATTACAAAAAACAAAAAAACAAAAAACAAAAAAAAAAAAAAAAAAAAACCCACAAAAACCACAACAAAATCCCCCAAGATACTTCTCACCATGCTAAACCACACATCATTGTTCTCCTTTGCTGATTATAATGACCTGTCAAATACGGTATGACAAAATTTTTCAATGAAATTATTTTTTTTCTTCAAATTAGTTTTCTTCCATTGCTCTCAAACGCAATTATTCTATGTTTCTCTCATAACTTTATTTATAAAGAACACTAACATACTTGTTAGCTTAAACTGCCATAAAAAAAATTATATAGACACATCAAGTACAAAATGAGAGAAATTGTCTTTTTTGAACTGTGCCTTAATATCCACCTTCCTCCAAAAATGCACTGTAGCTACTATATGTCAAAGTTCTTACCAAGAATCCAGAAAAAAAGATAAATAAATGAGTTCAGAAAACACAAAAATCATACATATACCTACGAAATCCAATTCTGTATTTATTTAAAGGTTAGAAACCTTCTTAGCTAGTCTTATTTTGAATGATGACTTTATGATTTAAAATTGCTTTTTCTCATTTCCCTACCTAGGTTCCCAGAACTACAGTATCTGAATATGCTATTTATGAGGATTTAATTTTATTTTGGCTCAACAGCAGTATCATTTCCTAATCAAATTCTCATCCATATAACTGTTCTTTTATTCAAATTAAAAAATAAACACAAGCTAATAATACTGCTTTTTTTTCACCTTTAACTTCCACTTTACAATATATCCAATATATTTTAGATTTAAACACTGCAAGACTCTAAGATTTACAAATAGATTGAACATTTGTCAAGGCTAAATGCATTATTGTAATCTTACATATGATGTTGCCTAAATGTATAAAACATCATATTTGGATAAAATATTTAAATGCATACATTTTTCTTATGCAAAACCAAATCTTTTCCCTGAAAATTATACTGTTTTGGCTCAATACTACCCGTATTTATTCCAAAATACCTGCAGAGGTAGCTAATCTATTTAAGTAATTAACTCTAGGGGAAGGAAATTTTAAATAAATATCTAAAAGCCACAAAACTCATTCCTCACTCTAACAAATTTGCCTTCAGTATTTAAAAATCTATTGCGTTACTGAAAATCATGAGTATACATTCATAAAGAACAAATTACACGTCCCAGAATTAGGGACAATAGCTAAAATACAAATTGGGGGGGGGGAGGGAATTATCAAAAATGGACATTCCAACAGGACTAAAGTAGGGCTGTGGGGATTTGATTCTACATTTCAGTCTGCAATTTGGGCATGTGATCTGATTAACCTCTTGAATCTCTCAAAACATTATTTACTGAGAAGAAGACTAAGTAAGTACTCAAATGTTACATACTTAAGAAACAGTTTGGTTACATTTTTAACTGAAGAATGTTTTTTGTTTTCACCCTTTTGTGACAGCTGGCCTTACATTCATTTCCTAGCCTTAACCTGTACAACCTCTGCTGGGTCAAGTCTCACCTGCCTGCACCACATACTTTATCCTGACCAACTCCAATGGAAATTGTCTATAAATGCACAGAATTTGACCAATTTGATCATTCATGCATATCTGAGGGCAGAATACATCCCTTCTGGTTTAGTGTGTTCACTCTGATACCAAACTTGCATCAGAATATGTCACGTCTATTTAGTAGACAGCTGTGGTTTACATATAAGCAATCAAAACCAGCATTGGTCACCAACAGCATTAGTGTGTGGATCAGCAACATACAGCAGAGGTGAATGGCACACAACACCCCTGGAACAGCCAGCAGTAAGGACAGCAACTCCCCTGCTCTGAGTTTAGCAAGAGCCAGGAGCTGCTGCTTCATATATAGGAATATTAACACTTTTAAGACAGTTCATAAGATCTTCCCTATTTGTGCAGCAGCACCTCTCGGCTGTGGATGAATTTCTATTGCAAATAGTCCTGTAAGTTTCAGAAAGAAATCTGACACTAACAACTCTTGAAATGTTGCTGATCTCTACATCAATACAAAGAACAGAAAATGGAAATGGTGAATCTATTCCAGTAGTTTGAGATGAATGAAATGCCAAAGTACCAGCACACAAACATATATATAAGGTGGAATGCAGAACACAGCTTACACGTAAATATATTTATAGTGACACTACTTCTGAGATCAGTGTGCCTTTTTCTGTTAGGGCCTGGAGTTAAATTATAGAGTTAATCAAGCAAATTCTTAACAGCTACAATTTTTTTCTTGGAAAATTAAGTATAAACTTGGAAAATTAAGTACACTGTCCTATTAATTTTGTTGGTTTTACTTTTCACTTATTTAGCTGCATCCATCCCACTGAAATTCTTCATTTCATTTGATTCATGTTCAGGAAGGGACTCTCTGGGTTTGTTCTGTCTGTTTTTCCAGGCATCTTCCCCAGGACTAATACAAGGAAAAAATACTCAACAGTTCTTTTTGGCCACTCAATTTTCTTACCCAAAAAGTCATGCCCACAAAGAGCCCCCTACATGGTCCATATGAAACTGAAACAAAGGCAACCAAACCCTTTCCTTAAAAGTGACAGGAAAGATAGAATGGGGGGAAGTCCCAAACACACAATCCTGACGGGAAGCATTTCAGGTCAAACACCTCTGGATATTCATCAGACCTAAAATGGATCCTACTGATTAGCACAGCATCCAGTCCACAGTGCCCTTCTCACACAGGGATGCTTCAAATCACTGCTCTCCCTGAAGCTGAAGAGCTC